GACGATTTTGGGTGGTATGGTCGGAAACAGACAACGTATGACCAAAAATTGTCATAAGTATCTACCATGTAACATGTCGTTGTTCGTAATGGTTACGTGACATCTTCAACTTTTGTGCATGGTCCTGTTACGAAACCCTGTGACGCAGAAGAGGGCAGCGGCTGCCAAAGCATCGAAATATGCAGAAAACATATGGTGAGCCAGGAAACGGGATTTTTCAAGGGGAGGGATTGCGGGGTGGGCGAGCTACTTATAGTAGGTGAAAAGCTGGAGTTAGCGAAGTCACAGTGCCATGCAGAGGACAGAGTGCAGAGAAAAAGAGAAGTTCAAAGGGATTGAGTTCAAGTTGTCCGTAGGCCCATATACCGTTCTCTTGATGTCTTCCTATCAACGTGATGAGCCGTATAACTCAACAGCAAAAGAAGGTGGGAGTATGAATGTGTCCCTTTTCCCTAAAAACAACAACGTCGCACTTGCCTTCTTACTCTCTGCGAAATGCTGAGCTGTGTTGCTGAAGAGCTTTACGAAACACAAACGCGGTCGTGATCATGATGTAGGGACTATGATTATATGGCGATTGCCATATTATCATAGTCCCTATATTGTGATTACGAGTTCAGCTAGGGAAGGTAAACGTTAAAACAGAACTGTACACTCACCTACAGGGATGGCCCCCTGCATGTGCGAGGTCAATGAGTCAGCAGGTGCAGTAGCGGGCCACTCAAAATGCGCGAGAGCGAGGCTGGAGGGTAGGATTCACGGGTGCCTCTTTCGTACTACGCTCACGCTATTCGCAACGTGCAGCACTTGCCGCTTGTACTGATCGCGGAGCAAAACACGTCCTCAGCGGTAGAGAACAACGAGAAGTGAGAAGACACACAGAAAAAGCGTATTTGGCTATGGCTAGGAGTGCGGCTGGCAGTGGGGTAGCGCGGGCGGAGTATGAAGACGGTAATCGGGCATCACCACCTTCCAGTCCGTCCTCGTGCTTTTTATCAGAGAAAGCTGACATAGTGCAGCTGTGGAACGCTCACATGGCAGGACCAATTTCTCGGAAAATGAGTGTACAGTCATTGGTCCCTAAGCACGAGACAGTCCCTTCACATGAAGCATCAAGGTCGCGCGTAATCGTCCCTGTACCAAATCCAAAAAGAAGTGCCCATAAGACCTCACCCTTTCATGGCCGTCGAGAATTTGTCCTGTTCTGGCAGCTATGTCGATGTGGAAGAAAGGGTGAGAGTGCAGCGCTGCATAGCTCGCTGGATTTCTGTTGAACTCAAACCTTCTCAAAAAAAACATGAGCTGGTCTAGAGATAGTGTTTTCATGCGGTCGCTGAAATCCGTGACTGCCTAGAGGCAGGGTCTTCATGGAGGGGGGGGTAGGGCAAAAAAAAGACATTTTCGACCGAGTCACAATGATCAGCAAAGTTTGCGCAGCGAGACAGAGGACGTGATACGAGTACCAAGGGCGCAAGATACCCAAGATGTTCCTCGATAAGCAGGAGCTGGCCTCGCCCATCACCTTCATGTACACCAAAACATGAAGTCATCTCCAGCCGAACCGTTAATGACTGAGAAGCGTTCGGAATTCATTCATCTGCTGACAGCTGCGAAACTTTTAGTATTGGAGCCACCCATGGCCACATAGCTACCTGGAGAGCAGTACTCTCGATCTGGAAGACCTCCATCATCGAGCAGCTCCGTCAACGTCGCTACGGTCTAGGACATCATCTTCACCTCAGTCGCCAAGGCGCCAGTTGATGGTGGGACCGGACGTACCTGGAATGGAGAGACCGATATTTTCTTGTGCGTGCTCCCGGACCAAAGGTAGGCGTGGCAGTTACACGAGCAACAGGGTGGTCTACAGTGGCGGAGAAATCAACGATCTCGCTGAACTCAGGCACCCACTCACGGTCGCGTGGCAGAATCTCTCGATGGCGCTCCTCCAGAAGGCTGTGGCGGAGTATCATAATATGCTCTTTAATATGGTGGTAGAAATGTCCGATAAGAATTTATAAAGTGTAACTTATAGCGCCTCCGAAAGTCGAGGAAGAAAAAGTCTTTTTTTGCCCTCCCCCCTGTACTCATAATACGTTAGCGTGACGGTTTTGGTCCGAAAATGACGCGTTTTTCTAGAGAGAACTTTCTTACTTTTCAATGAACGCAGTTTCGTTCAAACCTAATGTGCAATGAACACCTACGGGGGTTCGGAAACTAGAGAATTTTTCCATTCAGAAAAAGTAACGAGTATGTCTTAGAGCAGCTACAGCGAAAGTTTGCCCGTCGCAGATAGTGACCGAAATATCGCAGGAAAATTTTGGCCAATTTTTGACTTTTCATTGAGAACTTAATTGAGACATAATGTAGAGCGTAGACCTGAGCGGGTTTGAAGGCCAAAATAGCATCAATTTTCTTTCTCGGGAAGCACAGTTTTCAAATCCCGAACGTACTATGTAGAAAATATGGCTGCCTAAATCGTGGCTCCAGAATTAGCTTCAGTTGCAACACGGTCTCTCCACCACTTTGCCCACGTTTACATTTAGGGACCTCGGAAGGTTCTCAGTGCACCTCAACCACTTCAGGTATCTAAGAACCAGTACATCTACACTGATCAACCTCTCTATGGAGTGCGCCACGCACTTGTTTCCCATTAAGGGACATTTATAGAAATGTGGACCAAACAATGTAGGCCAGCTGATGGTTCCCTTGCAATTAATAGACAAACGGTAATTGTGGCTATGTTGTGGTTTCGTCTACACTATTGGCACATCATTAAATGAGGATTTTGGTCGAGTTCATACGCCCACCCCCCCCCTTTTTTTAGTGGATTGGCACGACCCCTCCCCCAACTTTCCTTACTAATCACTTTATTACCCTAGATTTTCCCAACTTTCTACCTGTTTTTCCGGTATTTCCCGAAAATTTTTCTAGTTTTTCCCAGAAGTTTTGGTGTAGAGGGTGGGGGAAGGGGGGTATAGCACACATGAAACAGGAAAAACCGCGAAAAGTCAGCACTTCTCAGAACGGAAATACGACCCCTTTTACAATGTTAAGAAACAAGAAAAATCAACTATCAGGAAAATGTTTCTCAGCCCAAATACGACCCCCTCTCCCAGCAACCAAATACGTTCCCACCTGTTGGGGAATCCCCAACAACGATGTGCCGTGGTCTATACGGACGAAGAGAGGCGTGCTTGGACGAGTTCTCGTCTGTCGTCATCACCTCTTTTCCCTTATCAATCGACTATCCATACTCGGAGGCGGAGGTGGTGTAGTGACAAGTGGCGCGCTTACCACTCGCGCGGCGCCGGGTTCAAATCCCGGGTCGACTCCCGCCCAGGCCAACCAAGCCTTCTACCCTCCGGGGACGGTGAATTGGTACCAGATTCGTCTGGGAGGATAAAACACTGACTTGTACATCGGCTGGCCCCCGCAAGTCATTGTATAGGCCACATCGCATTCAATAAGCCACTACGATTCTGAATGGAAGTAGAATGCGTGCCGCATCCCACAAAGGGATTGATCAACGGCGAAGACTTTATCCTTTATCCTTTTATCAATTCTCGAAGTGGAAAGAGGTAGTAGCGAAACGATCGCACCTTCGAA